ATGAGATCAATAATCTGAAGAAGCAGATGTCAGAGCACTTTGCAATGAAGGATTTGGGAGCGGCAAAACAAATCCTTGGCATGAGAATTGTTAGAGATTGAGTCAAAGGCACTTTGAGACTTTCACAAGCTGAATATGTGAAAAAGGTGCTTAGCAGGTTTAATATGAAGAAGGCCAAGCCAGTTGGCACACCTTTAGGCAGTCACTTCAGACTCAGCAAAAATCAACCCAAGTCAGAAGAGGAACAAGATTACATGAGTAAGGTTCCTTACGCTTCAGCTATTGGTTCACTTATGTATGTTATAGTCTGTACCAGACCAGATATTGCCCATGCAGTGGGAGTTATGAGCAGAAACATGAGTAATCCAGGGAAGAAACATTGGGAAGCTGTGAAGTGGATTTTGAGATATCTAAAAGGCTCTTCAGAAACCTGTTTTTGTTTCTCAGGAAAGAGCCTAGAGGCACAGAGTTATGTTGATGCAGATTTAGCTGGAGACATTGACAGTAGAAAGAGTACTACAAGTTATGTTTACACTCTTGACGGTTTTGTAGTGTCATGGGGCTCTAATCTATAGAAGACAGTTTCTTTATCCACTACAGAGGCTGAGTATGTTGCAGTGTCAGAGGCTGCTAAGGAGATGATATGGCTGCAGAGTTTCTTGGCGGAATTGGGTAAGGAGGTTCAGAAAGGCACTCTCTACCTGGACTTGTTGAAAAGAGCTTTCAACAGGGGCAGGATATTGCTCATGCAGTGGAAGTTGTAAGCAAATACAAGAGTAAGCCAGGAAAGAGCTTGGTGGTACAAGGCTGCTTTGACGGTGATATGTCAACTAAAGGTGTTACTCTTGAGAAACTGAAGTTATGTTCGACTTCAATTGGTCTTCTAGCTTGAAGACAGAGGTTTTGAGTTGCAGAGGAGAATGATATCACGTTTGATGATATCACGTTTGAGGAAAATGGCAGTGCAGTCAATGGATGGAGCAGTTAGTGTCCTAGTCTTCAAGTGAGAGAATTGTTGAGGAAGGTGGAGACCCGGTCCACTTCCTATTATGACAGATTCTTTGATAAATTGATTATAATTTATCTGCTCTTAAATTCATTTCCTTATGTATTTTATTTTCTGTCGTTGCTTGATGATTCTCAATTTTTTATTTAAAACAGTTGTCTTCTATTGACATGAAGAATTAAGGAAAACTTAAGAAAATTTTCTTCCCGTGATCCTTCTCTTTCACGATGTAAATCCGGATTAACAAAATTCTGTTCCTATAGAGAAAAAAGGCAATGAATTTGATAGCTTGTCTTAATGGGCTTTATATGAGTCATTAAAGCATGATTCCATGGAATCACGAAATTAAGGGTTACCAAGACAAACTGGATACTATGAAGCTTTAAAAGGGACTCACGATTACAGGGATGTGTATCACTCTCCAAAAAGCTTTCTCTTCTTGGATTATACTTTGTCGTGAGACTGAAATAAAGGAATCACAAGGAAGCTTTTCTTTAAAAGTTATATTTCTTCTTCTTGGTGTGACTCTCAGTTTAGAGTGAGAGAGAAGGGGTGAGGAGAGAGAGCGAGAGAGAAAATTCTTTCTTGTAAGTCGATGTGGTCGACGGTGTAACCCTCAAAGCTAATAAAATCCTCTGCAGCTCCATGGACGTAGGCAATTTGTCGAACCACGTAAATCTTGTGTCGCCTTTTCTGGTGTAGTTTTTCTAAATCTATTTTTCGCTTTATTGTCGTCGTTTTTTCATAACAACAACTTGTTTGGGGCAGTTACAATTTTTCATAAAAGTTGTTGAAGAAATGCCGTGAGAAATATGTTTTTATTTTTGAAAGCTGTTATGGGTACTATAAATTTCTTCTTTTAAAACAAGAAGGGCAATTATTATTGAAAGATTTACATGCATAGTACTCAATTCTAATGTATGTAGATATCTAACAGCTAAACATTCATATTTACAGGCAATTTTTTAACATCACATCAAAAATACTATAATCATCTTATTTTGAAGAATGTGATATCCATTTTCATGAATAGCTAGGTTCACGAAATGAAAATGTTAAAAATGTAAATATTAAAATTTCGGTTTTAGATATGTAAATACATAAGAATTGGGTGGTATATATATGAAAATTTTCAATTTTTTAAGGCGTTGGGCCTTACCTATACACATGAAAAGGTGCATCACTTGTTAAAAGCCTAAATAGTGGTATTTTTTTGATATGATATGATGTGAAATATCCGAGCAGTTCGAATGTAAAAAGGTAAATTTAAGAGGGTGCTTGACAACATAGTTTTAATAGGATTTAGTCATGAATTTAGACATTAAAAAACAAAAATAAAATGGGATGCTACATTAAATCATTTTTTTCTTCCCGTGATCCTTCTCTTTCACGATGTAAATCCGGATTAACAAAATTCGATTGTGTGGTGGATTCAGATTCAAGAATTTCTTCCACAGTCACTGGAGAGCTCATCTCCGTCAAACAGAATATCAAATTTACTTGACTTAAATTCAAGTTGTAGCCATACATAGGAATTGGGCAGTATGTTAATAGGAAGGCTTCACTCATCAATAAAACATCTTAATTATAGAATGACCTATGCTGGTAATATTTGATGTATCTAGGATAGAGATATTGACAGGAAATTTTTTGAGAAGCTTAATCTAAAGTAGAACATTTATAATGATAAAGTCGACAATTAATTTCAAGTTTTGACAAAACTGTACCACCAAACCTCAAAAAAAAAATTTTGGGAGATCAAAACGATCAATCAACAATATACAAAGAAATAAATTAGTTTGTTAGAAATAATATATCATGTAAGAATACTAATACCAAAACCAAATGAACAGTCAGTAACTACAACTAAATGAGGCTTGAAAAATAAACTGAATGAAATATATATTATAAGTTAGAACAATGCTAAATTAGTAGTTATCTAGCTAAATAGACTATAAATTTTGAAGAGATTTTTACATCTATAGCTAGGATAGAAGCTCTTTGAATGCTCCGAGCCTTTACTTGCTTCATAGGATTTAAATAGTACAAAATAGATGTAATGGGCATATTTCTAAATCGAAGCACTAAGAAAGATGTGTAGGTCGAACAACCTACTACATTTAAGAATCAACAGGATTTGAGGATCATGATTATCCCAATCATATCTACAAACTAAAGAAAGTATTTCATGGGTGTTAGGTATGACTCATAATACCAAAATTTGGAGTCTCTTAGAACAAAGAGATGTCTCTTAAAATTGAAGAGGTGTGTCTCTTGAAATTTAGTGGGTTGAGATCAGCGAGGGCGCAACAAAAGCATGATGGCCTAACCCACGCCTAACCCACATTCCCACATTGGTGCAGGTGTAACTCCCAGGTATCTTTAATTTTAAGGGGCTGGATATTCGCCAACGTGGAGATTTGTTATGGTATGGCTCATATACCATATAGGGACAGACGCTAGAACGAAGCGGAAGAATCTGTCCAAATTGGGAAGTTACGTTATGTGGGTTGGGGCTATACGGTACATGGGTAATTTGAGAGTTACATATTGTACTACAGAGTTTACTCTAGGATTATAAATAAACATGTTTGTGCTTGTTTGTAATCCTAGATCTTGGAGAGAGCTGGATATTGTATTATGTATTATTTTCTGAATATTGAAAAGGAAGTCGCCGCTCTGCTCCCGAGGACATAGGTATCTTTGTCGAACCTCGTTAAATCTTTGTGTTCTTCTGAATTTGTGTCGATTATTATTTTTCTTCGCTCTAATCTTTCAACAAGTGGTATCAAAGACAGGTTCGAGGGCACAGAAGAAATTTTTTGGCGGCAAAGATTTTGGCCGATGATTTTTCGGCTAGAGCAGAAGAGCAATCTCGGCGTAAGGATCTCGGCGGTTTGGCATAGGAAGAGCAAGCCTTGGGGAGGCGAATTGCGGCAACAGGAGTACTTCGCGAAGGGGCCAGTTTGGTGATTTCCGCAGAGGAGATTTAGCGAAGGCTTCGACGTTCGCGGTGTTTGTCGCACAAGTTGTGGATCGCGGGGCTTGAGGCAGAAGGTTCGGGTGATTTGCAGGAGGATCGTGACCCAGGATTAACGGACGGTGGCTGGTGTTCGACAGTTCGCGGAGGCTGCAATCTGTTCCCAAGGAAGGTTGTTCGCAGAGGAAGCTTTGGCGGGCGAACAAGGAAGTTCCTGGAGGTTTTGGCGCTGCACGCGGAGAAGAACCGGGAAGGAAGGGAATCAAGGAGAATATTCTCTACCTTTGGTGGAGATATCCTTTGCCTTTGTTGGACAGGAGATATTTAGGGAATCAAGGAATCTTTGATTTCTACTAGAAGAATATTCGCCAAGGTGGAGATTTGTTCGACATATGTATTTCTCCTAAGGGGCTGGATATTCGCAAGGTGGAGATATTTCTCCTAAGGGCCTGGATATTCGCAAAAAGGGCAGGATATTCGCAAGGTGAAGATTTTTCTTCTAAGGGATTGGATATTTGCAAGGTAGAGAATTGTTAGGTATGACTCATAATACCAGAATTTGGAGTCTCTTGGAATTGAAGAGGTGTGTCTCTTAAGGCTCTGTAATGCTAATTTTGAAGTATGAAAATTAAATCATAAGAACATCTAAAGGGACTTCCTAGTTCTTAAGACACCCACTAATATCATGATTTGAGAAAATATTTATAATTTTCTTGTTCTATTTGTTTCTAAAATAGAGTATGATATTGCAGAAATTTGTGTAGCTCGAATTTTTTAGCTTAAGCAACAACTATTAGACTATGGGATTCACATAGAGCACAAACATATTAATATTGCCAACACCAATGCCTCCAACACCAATGCCATTAGCTTGAACAAAAATTTCATGCAATACTCAATGAGAAAATAAGTAGAAATTAAACAAAATTTATGGATTATATAGCTAAAAGATATAGACATAGAATTCATTGAAACCAACCGATAGCTAATAGAATTCACTCAGGAATAATGAAGTAATTTGATTTCAATGGGACATCTTACTACTAAAATTTCCCTCAAATTAGGTGGCATCCATGTAAAATTGCATCCAACTTATTTTAAATCAATTATAAAGGACAATTCATCTTGAAAGAATTTTGATCAGATATGCCGACTCAAATTGCTTTTCTTTCAAAAATAATGTCAATTTGAGTTGTAGGTATCATCTTTGTGGAGTAAATCCATACATCCAAACAAATATATTTATATATTCAAATTTCAGAAGAGGAAATCATCAATATTTTAAGTTTAATGCTATATAAGACCCCTCTATCCAATCCAAAATCACAAATCATATTTTAACTACAATTGAAAATATCAAAAATCACAAATCATATTTTAACTACAATTGAAAATAAAAATTAACGACAAAATAATGATTTTATAATTTAATTACAAACGCAACTCTTAAATAAAATTAATACTGACATCAGGAACGCATGCAATCTTGTGCCAACCAGAGCCCTCAATATTTCTTAATAACGCTTCATCAACTCTGGATCACAATTTGCTACTATTATTGAACACGATGAGGAAGGGAGGTCTGGCACTGATTTGAGGAGTGGAATGCTATCTAATTCTAGATGAACAAAGAAGATGACAGGCACTCTAGGTTATCAAGACTCTTTATAGACAGACTAGACAAAGAGGGAGGGAGTTCTGGCAATGATTTGAGGAGTGGAATGCTTTTTAAATTAAGAAACTTGAGGGATGAGATGGCCGACAAAGATGATGGCAGGCACTCTAGCTTATCAAGACTTATTATATAAATACAAGACAAAGAGGAAGGGAGTTCTGGCAACGATTTGAGGAGTGGAATGCTATCTAATTCTAGATGCTTAAGGGATGAAATGGCCGACAAAGAAGAGGGCAGGCACTGTAGGTTATCAAGACTCCTTATATACATATTAGACAAAGAGGGAGGGAGTTCTGGCAATGATTTGAGGAGTGGAATGCTTTCTAAACTAAGAGACCAGAGGGATGAGATGGCCGACAAAGAAGATGGCAGGCACTGTAGGTTATCAAGACTCTTTATAGACAGACTAGACAAAGAGGGAGGGAGTTCTGGCAATGATTTGAGGAGTGGAATGCTTTCTAAACTAAGAGACCAGAGGGATGAGATGGCCGACAAAGAAGATGGCAGGCACTGTAGATTATCAAGACTCAAACTCAAGGGATGAGATGGCCGAAAAAGAAGATGGCAGGCACTCTAGTTTATCAAGACTCGTTATAGACACACAAGACAAAGAGGGAGGGAGTTCTGGCATTGATTTGAGGAGTGGAATCCTAGTTAATACTAAATTGGTGAGGGATGAGATGGCCGACAAAGAAGATGGCAGGCACTCTATGTTATCAAGCTTATTTAGATTCAGATCAGACAAATAGGGATGGAGTTCTGGCAATGATTTGAGGAATGGAATGCTTACTAAATCTAGATGCTTGAGGGATGAGATGGCCGACAAAGAAGATGGCAGGCGCTGCAATGATTCCAGGTGTTGAAGACGTAATTCTTTCAGCGAGGCGGGGATGTGTAGAAGCTGCAGAAGCAGACGAACTTCTTTGACGCATAGAATCTCAAGTGAAGAGAGGCGTTCCAAGGAGGAAGGAAGAGACTTCAGGGATTTGAGGCCTTCAAAGCACAACTCACGAAGGGATGAGCTAACGTGCGAAAACCACTGCTCCGCCTCAATTGTAAAAGAAACCAGCACGTCATTATTACAAATTGTGAGCTTTTCCAAGGAGGCGATACTTGCTGTTGGCAACAAGGATGGGTCATCTATAACAACTTCACTGACAATAAGCTGGAATTTCTCAATGCCACTCTCCGCTTGTTGCAGTCCGCCAAGAGAAATCAGATTGGGGCAACCTTCAATTCTCAGTTTTCCTACATCCGCCAGAAGAAGAGCTGTGATGTTTGGACACAAAAGGACCTCTAATGTTTCTATCTTGCAGTTGTTGATTTCTTGCTTGCAGGTCAAAGCAGCCTTCCATCCGATGTTTTGTATCTTCATTTTCTTGAGCTTAGGAGGCAAATAGGGGAACTCCTGCAGATTTGGGCATTTAACGAGGAAGAGTTCAGTTAAGCAAGGAAAGAAACAGTCATATGCTGTTGCTCCTGCTCCACCAAACCAATCCCCCAATACTTGCAATCCCTCCATATTTAGCGTCGTCCCCATGGAATTTAGGCTCAAGCCGCTTTGCTTTTGGCATGCTACGAAGGTATAGTGACTTCAGGTGGGGAAGCTGCCCAAAAGGTGGAAGAGTTTCCCACTCTGAACACTCATCCAGACGGATGCACTCTAGATTGGAGATCAAATCTGCATTGTACATCCGTTTTGCAGAGCTTACACCCTTGTATGAAACTATGGACAATCTCTTCAGATTTTTGTATGGTTTGAGATTTTCAAGCACATGCACATCTAAGTCAGAATTGACAATCTTCCGTTCATCAACGGTATAGCCCCAATTCAAGAATAAGTCTGTGAGTTTTCTCTTCTCAAATAATTTAGCATTGCGAGCCTCTATAGCATCCTTCACGTTTTCCAGAAAATGAATTTTTAATTTGCACAACTCGCTCATATGTTCCAACTCCCCAATTCTATAACCATTCTCATTCTTACATTATTCTATAACCATTCTCATTCTTAACATTAAACTCGTTTAATTCTTGAAGTGACCTTAATTTCCCAATTCCAGGTAAACTAGAAAATAAATTCGGCGGCAATTCCAAGTAACGCAAACTAGAAAGATTACTCACATTGCCAGGCAAGAAATCATCAGAGCAAAATCCCCAACACATCCTTCCATAGATTATGAACCGCAAATGATAAAGACTGCTTAGAGATCTTGGCATATGAGTGAGCTGTGCAGTAAGATTCAAATATCGAAGATGTCTCAAATTTTTAATAGCCTCAGAAATCTTTTTCTGCCCTAGAGAGCATATGAACAACAAACGAATCCTTCTCGATGCTTCAAAAATTTCAGTAAGTATTTCAGTAAAATCTTGATCAACGACTGTCAAAAAAAGCGAATGTAGATTTTTAACATCTTTGATCTTTCTCAACACTTCTGGATTTTCAGTTTTAACAAATAAGTGTCGAGCATTTTTAGGAACGTTAAAAGATAAAACATCATCTCCCACAAATCTGAAACATTCCTTTGAATAAATAGACTGCCAAAACATGTAATAAATCATGCATCTTATAGTATATTCTTCTAGAATGTTGAAACTCATCAAAGAAAGATATTCTGACCAAAACATCCAAATACGTTCCTCCAATATCTTCCAAAGTTTCTCCTTCAATAGAAGATTCCTGAATGAAGCCCAATGCAATCCACATTCGGACTAAATCAACTTTATCAAACTGATGATCTTGTGGGAATACGCCACAAAATGCAAAACAATTTTGTAGAGGTTGTGGGAGGAACGTAAAACTCAAATTTAAGATAGGCAAAATGTTATTGCGACCCGGTTTTGGTTCTACGTTTAGAACATTACTTTCTAAAATTTTCATCCAAAATCTCTCAGTTAAGTTAGAATTGAGAACACCACCAATGACCTTTGCGGCCAATGGAGAGCCTGAAAGCTTTTTAACTATCGAACTAGCAATGTGTATTAATTTTGTATGAGCATCAAGATTCTTTACAACAGCAAATGAATGGGTGTTGAGTAGCTTCAAACACGCATCTTCCTCTAAGCCCTTTAATGGATAAATTTCTTTATCATTACTAATAACATTTGCAATCGTCGATGTAACTGTATCCATCCGGGTAGTCAACAAAATTTTACTTCCCAAACCTCCGTAAACTTGAGGGCAGAGTAAGTTCTCCCATTTGCTCATATCTTCTTCCCAAATGTCATCCAAAACAAGCAAGAAGCTTTTGGATTGCACGACAGCTTTAAGATTCTCTTGAACAGTAGCGAGTGACTCCAAACGAGGTCTCTCCTTGTTAAGACATTCCAACATATCGTCAATCACCTTTTTTACATCAAAGTCCTTGGAAACGCAAACCCACATTTTCAGTTCAAATTTTTCTTCCAGATCTTCATAGATGTGTTGTAAGAGAGTTGTCTTGCCCATGCCACCATGGCGCACTATGGATAGAAGAGAAATGTTTTTGTATAGAGTAGGGCTAGCAATATGAGTTGGATTTTCATTTGTTGGTGTTATGGTATGACTCATATACCATATAGGGACAGACGCTGGATCAAAGCGGAGCGGAGCGGAAGAATCTGTCCAAATTGGGAAGTTACGTGGGTTGGGGTGCGGGGGCAAAGCCCCGCGGTATGCTACAGGGGTAATGTTGTAATTATATATTGTGCATAGGGTTTACTCATGGGGTTATGAATAGGCATGTTAGTAACCCCAGGAGGTATCCTCTATTCTGTAATCCCTTTTCTAAATATTGAAAGGAACTCGCCGCTCTGCTCCCGAGGACGTAGGCATCTTTGCCGAACCTCGTTACATCTCTGTGTTCTTTTGAATTTGTGTCGATTCTTGTTTTTCTTTGCTCTAATTTCTCAACAGTTGGCTTCCTCAACCACTGCATAACAAAATCCTTTTCCTCGCCTCGACAGATGAGAACGTTTTTAGGCAAGCACCCTGTTTCACGATCTGTGCACAACTGAAGCTCCAGCTCCTGCTGCTCCTGCTTTGAGTTTTCGATGAGAGGAAGGAAAGTAGTTACCTGAGCTGAAACTTTATCAAGTTTCTTCACAGCTGCCTCCAGTCTCTCCAAGTTGGGATCAATTTTGAGAGCTCGTTCGTTGCCTTTACGATTTTTAGAAAAAAATCCAGAAAAAAAAGCCAGTGCCTACAGAACGCACCTTTGTTTTCTCCGTGTTTCGTCTGATCTGCTCCTGTTGTTCTTCTTCAAGCCCAATGTAGTCATCAAGAACATCATCTGCCTCATCGATGGCATCTCGTAGCTGCCATATCCATCTTTTGAGAGCCGGGTTGCGATCTGTGATGTGTGCTCGGGTGTAAGCAGAGACGACAGCTTCGATCATGGGGTGGTTCTCTCGCAGCCTTTCGAGCTCCTCCTTCATGCCTGTCTACCGTCTATATTGATCGAGCATGTTAGCAAAGCAAGTGTCGATGATCTTATCCAAGATCTTGTTGATGATCTTATCCAAGGTCTGGCCAACAAACCAGTCTGCCATGGCACAAACTCAGGTTAAGCGGAGGAGAGACGGTGGAAGAGAAGAAGAGGGTCAGGAGGACGGAAGTAGGTGGCTTTGCTATGAAGGATGCGTAGTATTATAAGCTGATAAAGGTGGCTCGTAGTTTCCACCGTGGTTTCCTGTTGACTCTCATTGACGTTGAAGTGTGGGTAAGTGTAGGTGTGGTTTCCTGTTGACTCTCATTGAGGTAGTGCCATTGATGTAGTTGTGCGTAGGGGTGTAAATGAACCGAACACGAACGAACAAAGCTTGTGTTCGTGTTCGGTTCGTTTAAAATTTAGTTTGTTTGAAATAAGCTCGTGTTCGTTTCTTAACGAACG